ACTCTCTCCCCCAAAAAAGAAAAAAAGCAAAAGGTTTCCCTGGTGCCATAGATGCTCAGCTGTGAACTTTGTCCAAGGGCAAAGTTACATCCCCTGAACCTGGACTCTGCAAGCTGAACTTGGGAAAGCAGTCTGAAAAGGCCAGAGCAGGCAGCCAGGTGAGATCTGACACTTGGTCTTTTGTTCAGGCTGCTGAGAGCCTAGGAAGAGGCCTCCCTCCCCAGCTCTCAAAGGGTGCCAAGAAACAGAAATTCCCACATCCACACCCCACCGGGGATCTGCACGCAGGCACATGCACTGGTGTGTGTACACGCACACACACATGCATGTACACACATGCTGTCACACACCGTACAAGGACACAACACATGCCCTCAGCCTCGAAAATGCATCTGTACCCTGCAGTGCAGTCACCGCCAGCTCTCCAGTCCCTCTAGGCCACCGGGACCACAGGAGACCCTTCTCCTCTTCCCGGGAAGGCTCCTTTTCCACTCCAGAAATGGAAAGGAGGTGGGATTTCTAGACACGGGCAAAGAAGAGGCGTTGCTGCAGACATGAGGGTCTACCTCGTGAGGGGACTGGGCCACCACTCTGGCAGCCAGTGGTAAAGCAGTTGGTGACAGGGCCAGTGGGGTGGAGGAGAGGAAGCCCTGCAGAACTCAGTGTCAAGGAGCGCCCCAGAGGATCTGGGTACCATCTGGGGCCCCTGAAGCGTGAGTCTTTATTCCCAGAATCTTAGGAGGCAAAAAGCTCCCAGGACCAGCCTAAGAAGAAAGGAGAAGAGGAGAGGAGGAAGAGAGAAGTGATGGAAGGAGGAGAAATCAGAGAAGTGGGGGAATGTGAGGAGGGGGAGAAGCTGGAGGAAGAGCAGGAGGGATGGGAAGAAGAGAGGACAGGGCGGAGGAGGGAAGGGCAGAGGAGGGGGCGGCTGGCAGCAGGCACAGGAGAGAGGAGGGGGGCCCCCAAAACTGTGCGGGTGCGCCGTGCAGGCCCAGGGAAGCCTGAGCAGCACTGCTGCTTCCCCTGCCTTGAGACCTGGAACTCCCTCCAAAGCACTGTGTTTTCTGGGGGAAATAAACATGCCAAGCCAGAAAACAACTCCCTCGTCCTCTCCTTCCTAGTCAGGTCTGGGCATGTGTTTCAAGGTCCTTGCTAGAAGAACGCTGCTTCTTAAAAGAAAAAAAATAAATAACCCTAAAAGAGCAAGGAAGGGGTACCAGGGTTCCTTTCCCAGGGTACCTTATCAAATGGGACACTCCCCAGGAATTCCAGCCTGGGAACCTGCAGGGAACACATTATTCCAGGATACTCCTCTGCCCCCCTCAGCCTGCACCCCTGCCTCTCTTCCAGGAGCCTTTGGAGACTGAATCACTGGGGTTTGTCCAGGGCTGTCGGCCTCTCCTGGCACAGCAGAATGGGCTCCGAGCCCGTGGGAGTGCAAAAGACCTCCCCCAAATCAAAGCCCCTGGCTTTGCAGGTGGATTTATCACCCTGTAAATCAAGGCTTATTGGGTAATTGCTTTCAAAAAGTGCTCATTGCCCAGGATCAGAAATAAAGTGTCCTCTCCCTTGGGCAGAGCCGAAAGGCCCTGTCCACATGAGAGCAGGGAGCCCCAGTTGGGCAGTAAGGGCCGCATTTCCCATTCATTTGCAGTCTGGGGAAAGGCAGTGCCCTGCCCCATCCCAGGGCGCACCTCACCTGGGGCTCTGCTCCCCTAGTTCAGGCTGATTTCCTTCTCTGCCCTTGGGTTTGGAGAATTCAATTTGGAAATAGGAAGAAATTCTATGAGTATTGTTGTTGTTCTGTTTGAAACAAAGAAAAAAGTTGTGTGTGTGTGTGTGTGTGTGTGTGTGTAGAGATTTCAGAGCAGCCTTGGAGAGGTAGAGGCAGGGTAAGGGGCCACGGTCCCAGCTATCCCAAATGGGGTGATTCCTGGGGGGTGGGGGAAGCTGGGCCTGCCCAGAGACCCACTTTTAGAACAAGCGGAGGGGGAGGGCGAGGAGCTCCCTTCCCAAGGTCTTTGCCCAACCCCATCCTGACCAAAGGATTGTCCCCAACGGACGGGACGGGTGTGAGTTCCAGCCCAGGGAGCAGTGGAGGCCGGTACATACCTCAGGAAACCATGGAGATGAGGAGGAGGGCGGACAACCAAAGAGCACTGGGAGAAGTCAGAAAGGCCAGGAGGAAGGGAGGGAGAAGGACCCCAAAATCCAAAGGGAGGAGACCCTAAGATGGGGAATGCAGGCAGAAAAAAGCGGACTAGGAAACTTGGGGGTAAGACAGACAGAAGGGAAGGAGAGGTAGAAAGGGGAAGGATACAGCAGGCGCAGGGCTGCAGGGAAGTCTTTGCGGGCAAAACCTCCCCTCTGCACACAGCCAGGCAGGAGGCCATCGCCCCCCCCACACACACACAGGCTAGCACAGTCCTGGGAGCTGATCAGTGACACAGGGAGTGAATGAATTTGGGCAGGACAGTTGGCTAGGAGAAATAGGAGAGGGGAGGGGGAGAGCTTCTCCCCCCACCCCAGCTGCAGCCACCCCAGACCCCAGGTGAACCCCCCCTTCCCCTGCTGGATGTGAAATCGCCATTTCACCCCGCCACACTTCTTAATTGTTGCAAAAATCATTTGTGAAATTGGTCTCCAACAGGCGAGAACCACCACGCTCATTCCGACAGACAAGCTCGCTTCCCCCCCCCCCACGCAGCCCCACCGGAGCCCACGGAATCCCCACGCCGAGGGAACACGGGGTCGGTGGCCAGGGAGCCTGATTTGAGCCAGGAGTGGACCCCCTGCAGTGTCTTCCAAGGTGGAGGACAGGGTTTCACCCCAAAGGCAAGGTGGCTCCAGTTTAAGACGTGGCTCCCAGCGTCCCCAGGGTGGGAGAAGCCAGGACGAGAGAGCTACAAAGTCCATGCGGGGGACCTGGGAACCTGGGTACACTCCGGGAGTCCTTGGTTTCTGGCGGGGCGGGGGAGGGGGAGAATCTGACCCCAAACACACATCCACACCTGCCTGACCTGCACCAAGAGCCTCCCCAAGGGAACACCAACGTGACCCCAGGATGGACTCATACACAGACCCCCACTTAGGATCCCACAGTGACTCAGACTGAACCAGACAGGCCTACCCCTGAACACCCACACAGCTGGGTTGGGACCCCATTCTCACTCCTCCGCACACCAGCCTATTTCACAACACAGAGGGGGCTTTAAGACCTGTCATGAGGGGCACTGGCCATGACGGGCTGAATGGATGAATATGTAATGTGTATTTTATATATTGTACATGCATACACATATAGGAAACATATGTCCACCTACGGGGGCCAAGGCAGGACAAGCCGCCCAGTAGATTACCATCCTCCCTGGACACACTCTGGGGTTTGAAGCTCTATCTCTCTATCTCTTTTGGGAAAGGATCCCTCAAACTCCAGCAGCCTGGCATCCTGACCCCATTCACTTTCCCGATGCCATTCACTTTCAGGATTATCTGGCCTGCCCAGTTCAATTTTTGAAGCTTGCATTTAACAGGGTTCTCAGCAAGGCCTCTGCACCCCCCCCTCCATTCCTGAAAAGCCCCTCAAAAGTCTGATGAGCCCTGGTACTAAGAAAGAGGATCTGTCACATGTGGAGAGGGCAAAGGTCACAGGTGAGAAGGGAAAGGGAGGGGACACACCAAGGCCAGCCAGCAGAGAGACCCCAGGCCCAAGTAAGCCTGACCCCTCCTCCTGGAGAGGGCGGGCAGGGGGTGAGTTGGAAGGCTGGGTTTATTTTATTGTATTTTGCCTCCAGCGACAGGCCAGAGACGCTCTTTCCCGGGGGAGACAAAAGGTCTGAGGTTGTGGCGTCCCGCCCCGCTGGGAGGGCGTTTCGTCCCTAGGAATCCATGTCCCGAGTATGGGGCCGCTGATCATCCTGGCCTCTGAAAGCCCAGAATTGTGGGAGCTCAGATCAAGTCCCCATTCCTGGCCACCTAATTGGGGGTGTCCCCCCCCCACCGGCAGAGGAGCTGAGTTGGTGCTAAGTCCCAAGGGCTCCCTCCTGGCCATCTTTTGCCCCTTTACGCCCTAGAGACTGAGTACAGCCTTGCTGCAAAGCCTCGGGACACCCAAATCCCTCCTGGAAAACGGTCCTGGGTTGCGGCCTGCTGGCCTAAGGGGAGGAGGAAGCCCTGGAGGCCGAAAGGAAAGGAAGACAAGCACCCCTAACCCTGCACAGACTCAGTGTCCCCAGCGTCACACCCAGATAAGGCCGTTCTGGGACGCCCGAGGAAAGGCGACCTTTCCAAGAAGCGCCCGACTCAGCGGAGGCTGCTCCCGCAGAGCCCTGCGCAGCCTGCGAGACCCGGAGCTGGCGCCTCAGTGGGTCCGACCCACTCATCAAAAGAAGACGCTCGAAAAAAGTTAGCCCCTTCTTTTCTCTCGGGATCCCCCAGCTCCCCAAGCCTTGCTCCCCGACGAGCAGTTCAAATTTTGCCCCCTAAAAACGAGGTTGACTCCGCGGTTTAGAACAGAAGGGAAAACAAAATTCGTGGGCGATTTCTTTTCGTTACTGGTGCTGCGCTCCCTTCCGTCCTGGCTCCCTTCCCTCCTCATGAATAAAAGAAAAGCCCGAACCTATCAGATCCCTTCGGCTGCCTCCCCCTCCTCCCCCTCCTCTTCCCCCTCCTCCCCCTCCTCCCCTTCCTCCTCCTCCTGGTCCTCGGACAGTTGAGCACTTTCGCACAACTTAACCAGCTGATTACGCGCCCCTCGCTTTTCCTCTCCTCTCCCCCAACCCGGCCACTCCCCGTCCCCTCCCCTGGAGCCCCGACACCCGCGGAGGCGCCCGTTGCATCCTCGGGTCACCTCGGGGACGGGCTGAGCGACGGAGCTGGCGCGCAGGGCGCGGGGACAGAAGGCGTGGAGCGGGGGCGGGCGGGAGGAGGGAGCCGAGCGCGCCCGGGAGTAAATATATAAATAAATACGAAAAAGAAATCCGCTCGGCGGCGGCGTCTCGGCTCGGGCTCGGGCACTTCGGGCTGGAGCTGCAGAGCCTGTCGCCGGCCAGCAGGGCGAGGCCGGCCCCGATCCCGCCGCGACCCCCGCCCCCCGCGCCTGCGCCCCCGGCCGGTCTCCGGCTGCGCCCGGACGCCTCGGCGCGCCCAGCACGGCTCGCAGCCCCGGCCCGCGGCGTGCGTGTGTTTGAACTTCCTCGTCGCCACCGTCCCTGCCCCCCACCTCCGCCCCCGCCGCGCCCCCCTCCCCAGCTTCTGGACGCGCAGGACCGCAGCCGGGGTGGGGGGTGGGGAAGGAGCGTGCGTGGAGGGGAGGGGGGAGCGGTTAGAAAAAGAAAGAAGGGAAGAAAAAAAGAAGACGAAGAAGGAAAGAAAGATCGCGCGCAGCAGGAGCAGAGGGAGCCACGGGAAGCCAGCCGCCGCCTGGGCACCCGCGGCCGGCGCGCAGCCATGGCGGGCCTCCCCGGCGCGGTCCCCAGGATGATGCGGCCGGCTCCGGGGCAGAACTACCCGCGCACCGGCTTCCCGCTGGAAGGTAAGCGCGCCCGCTCCCTCCTCCGCCCGGGCCTGCGGGCCCGCCGGGGTGGCCGTCCACCCGTCGCCGGCGGGAGCTGCTAGGGGTCCCCCCGGTTTCTCCAAGTCCTGGCGCCGGACCCAGCAAGTTTCTGGGCCGACACTTGCGCGCTTCGGCCAGCCGCGGCCCCCGGGTGGCAGGCGGGTCGGGGCGGCTGGCCTTTCTCCCGCGGGGCGGACTCCAGGTAGATTTGGGCTGCTCGTAAATTTCGGGTCCCTGCGCCTTTCCGGTCTCGCTGTTTTCAGACGATTCTTCCCCCCGGAGTTTCCCGGCCGCCTGAGCTCACTGGCTATCACCGGCTCTCTATGCTTGTTTTGAATTGTTCTGTCCACCCTCCCGGGATGGGCTTCCGATCCCTTTTCTTTCGAAATCCCATCCATGTGTGACTCCTATTCCTAAACCGCGAGAGCTTGGCCGCTTCTTGCAAAGCGACTCTCAAACTCCTCCAGCTTTCCGGCCTGGAAGACAAACTAAGTCGCAATAATTCATTGCAACGACATTCTTTCCCCTCACCCCCCAAAAAACTTTTCTCCCGGGGTGCCCAACTCAGCAAATCTCCCTAGAGAAAAGCCCATGACGGCGAGGTCCGGGTCGGTGGAAAGCGTTCATTTTGCGACGTGTTCTTCCCAGCTGTCCACCACCGGGGGACACAGAGGGAAGGGTGGCCTGCGGGTCCCGCTGCAGACAGCTCGGGAGCCAAAGGCCAGACTCTTTCCTGGTTTGTTGTTTTGAGGTTTTTTTTCTTCTCTCTCCCTCTTCCTCTCTCCCTTCTCTTGTTAAACGCACGGAAGGCCTCCCACCCGTCCCTGCGGATCGTCTGGCTCCTGGGGGTACATCGCCCAGGGTGTCCTAGCGAAGCCCTTAGATGTGTGTGTGTTACTTTTTGCGTTTTAATTACTCTTCTTGTAATTGTAATGAGCCCCTCGTGCGTGAGTTTGGCGAGCGGCGCGGGAGGGGGTGGCGGGCAGGCAGCCTGCGATCCGGGGAGGGGGCCCCTGAATTAGAGGCGAAGAGAGCGGCTGCGTGATCAAGTGCGCGCGAGCGGCCGGGCAGGCGGACAGCGCCCGCGCCCGGGGATTTGCCGCAGACCCTCCTGGAGCCCGCGCTGCTGGAACAGGCGGCCGAGGACGCGCGGCGGATTAGGACAATATTTGCCCAACATGACGCAGAATACTGAGGAGAGCCGAGTGCCGGTCGCTAAAGAGGCTCTTGAATATAAAGTTGGACGCTCTAGAGCTCTCGAGCGCTAATGGCATATCCCGCCACGGAGACCGAGTGACTCCGGCTTGGCGACGCACGATTTCTGATTAAATCCGAGAGTGGCTTCAGACACCGACTTTTGCAAAGCGAGGCGGGGGACCGAGAGAGCAGAGCGAGGGGGGCGGTACGCAAACTCGGCCGCCCAAGTCTCCTCTCACCTCCCCCTTCCAATTACACTGCCGGCTCCCTCACTCGGGCGGCTGTGAAATCGTTCTAATCTTCCAGATCTCCGCAGCCGGCGAGGCCCCAAATTGGGGGGATCGAGGCCGGATTAGTGCACCGGGTGTCCCCCAAGCCTGTGCGAGGAAATTGTGTAGACTTTGCATTAAAGCGATCTGAGCTTCTCCCCTCCCTGGCACGCACCGCGGCGCTGGGCTTCCTGATTCCCAGAGTCACCCGCACCTCGGGACTCGGGCTGGGTCTGTCTTAGTGAGCGGAGCCTGCAAGGACAGGGACAGTCTGTGGACTTCTGAGCCCCCATGGGGGTATTTTGGAGATTGCTCACAGTGGAGTGTGTTGTCAAATTGTCCCAAAACGAAATTAAAAGTTTGAGAGTGGTTAGAAGTCAAGAGAGTCCCCAGAGGGACCGAGAGGTGCCCCTCAGAGACAACAGCAGCAGCAGCTGGAGGGCAGTGTCCCTGGCCCCTTACTGTGCCCAGGCTGTTCAGCCTTGAGTAAGATCCCTCTGCTGCTCCAGCCAGAGCAGTAAATGCTATTAATCAACCAGCACTTCCCAGCCACCCATGAACTGAAGCGGCCAGGACTCTGGGGAGTATGGAATGGAATCCATGGGCCAAGTCTCCCCAAGTCACTGGCCTGTCTGAGCAGCAGGCGGACCTGTGGCCCAAGCTTCGGCCTGAGAGCCGTCTCCCTAGAGCCCCACCAGGCTCAGCGCTCTGCTCAGGGGCACGCGGGTCCCCCAGGTGTGTCTGGGTCCCCTGCAGCTGGGCTGGAAGTGTGCAGCCTGGCTTCCTGTCCTGTTTCCCAGCCTCAAACCTACAGAAACTTCCTCAAATTCGAAGACCCGGGAGATCTGCTCTCAGAGGGCTGCGGCTTGAACTGCTGGAGTCTGTCTCTTTCCTGTCCTTACCCTGTCTGTTTTCATCTCCCTTCCTAGTGTCCACCCCACTGGGCCAAGGCCGGGTCAATCAGCTTGGCGGGGTCTTCATCAATGGGCGACCCCTGCCTAACCACATCCGCCATAAGATAGTGGAGATGGCCCACCATGGCATCCGGCCCTGCGTCATCTCCCGCCAGCTGCGTGTCTCCCACGGCTGCGTCTCCAAGATTCTCTGCCGCTACCAGGAGACCGGCTCCATCAGGCCTGGAGCCATCGGAGGCAGCAAGCCCAGAGTGAGTGTCTTTACCACCAAGGCTGGCCGCAGGCCTTGGCCTGGTCTGAGGGCCTTTGGCTGCACCCTTGTGCTGTCCAGCAGGTCCAGAGTGTCTTTAGACTTCCTTGAAGAATTTAGAGTGTCCCACCCCAGGATGCCCCCACTATTTGAACTTCTCAGAGATGGGATAACTGTCCTCTTGGCTGTCCCAGACCTTTAGGCCAGTGAGCCACCTCTGGTGACTCTTTACATCTGTCCCAAATGCCGTGCCATCCCAATGGACCACGAGAAATCTCCAAGTCTTGCCTGTGATAGTGAGGGACCCTGAAACGCCTGCTTCGGGGTTACTTTATTTTCTATTCCTGCTGCCTCTCACCTGTCATCCTGGAAGCCAGAAAGGCGTTTCTTTAAAAAAAAAAAAAATAGGGACCTTCTTGAAGGGCTTGGTGACCAGAGCTATCAGCTCAGCTGGGGACTCGGGGACTCTCTCGGGAGGTTGGTATTAAAAGTGTGTTCCTCCCCTGCCCCATCCTCCCCTCCTGCTCTCCTGCCTCCACCTCTGAAGCAGGTGGCCACTCCGGATGTGGAGAAAAAGATTGAGGAATACAAAAGGGAGAACCCGGGCATGTTCAGCTGGGAGATCCGGGACCGGCTGCTGAAGGACGGCCACTGCGACCGCAGCACGGTGCCCTCAGGTGAGGAGACAGCCGGGGCGGGGGAGCTTCTGCTGTCTGACGGTCGGTGTGCTGGGGCTGAGGGAAGAGGACCCGACCGGGCCAGAGGGACGGATGATGGCCGGCAGGGACTCGGGAAAAGTTGAGAGGAAAAGGAAGCAAGAAAGAGAGAGAGCTTCATAATGAAAGGGCAATGGAAAGAGAGGGGGAGAAAGTCAAGCGAGCGGAGGGGAAGGCAGAGAGGAAGGGAGGCAGGAGAGGGAGAGGAAGGGTGGCAGGCAGGAGGGAAGAGAGGGAGGGAGAAATAAAAGGAGGAAGAAGGAAGGAAGGATGCAGGGAGGCCAGAAGCTAGAAGGTGAGGTGAGACAGGAGGTCCCTGCAGGAGCTTTCTGGGCAAAGTGGCCCGGAGAGAGGGACCTGCTCTCGGAGGGCTTAGTTCCCTTTCCCAGGGACTTTCTCCAGTGCAAAGGTTCCAAACCATGCAGCCCATGGAAAGCAGCTGTGTGCATGTGTGTGTGCATATGTGTGTGTGCGTGTGTGTGTGTGTGCATGCACAGGCACGTCCGTGCAGAGCAAGGTGACACACCTGAACACAGGCTTTCCAGCAGCTGGGGTTGGGTCCTCTGGGGTGGCCCTGGGCAGTGGATGTGAAGGTCAGTGAATCTAGAGCGTAGGGTTGTGCAAGGCCCAGGAGTGTGTCAGGGTGTGTGTGTCTAAGAAGATACTAGGTGGGTGCCTCTGCCAGTCTTTTGGCCCTATAAGAACCCCTAGAGTAACCCCAGTTGTGACTCCCCAGGTGTAGCTGGGCTTTCCTCAGTGCTGACTGCCGAGTGGGCAAAATGCTAAAATGCCCGTGTGGGGATGACACGAGTGGCCCTCGTGTCAGTGGGAGGGGGCACAGGGACGTTGGCCCAGGGCTCCAAGCCCCAACAACTTATGCTAGCTCTTTTGCCTTTGAATTTCTGAGGTTTAGTGAGTTCGATTAGCCGAGTGCTCAGAATCAAGTTCGGGAAAAAGGAGGAGGACGACGAAGTGGACAAGAAGGAGGAGGATGGAGAGAAGAAGGCCAAACACAGCATCGACGGCATCCTGGGCGACAAAGGTAGGGAACTGCAGGGTCGCGAGCCATGTTTCCCACGCTCCTCACGCCGGCCTGCGGCTCGCTCCTCGGAGTGGAGAAGTCCCCGGCTGTGGGCAGCCAGAGCCCCCGGGCCCCTTAGGGCAACCCTAGGACCGGAGCGGGTGCGAAGCCCGCGTCCCCTTTGCGTCACTGAATGTGGGTTGCGACAGGCGCACCGCCGTTTTGCACCGCGGCTGTGCAGCCTCTGAGCAGCCTGGGCTCCTCTGGTACATCCGTCCTCGGCTTGGCGTTTTGGCTGCTGGTCCTGGTGTCAATCAATTATTAATAGGAAACCTGGGTAAGGGGGCCGAGCATGGAAGAATCGGCCCGAGGCTCCCTAAATGAATTTGTTAACCAGTCCCGCACAGGCTCTCTAAACGGTCCCTTGAAACCCCGCCCGACAGTTGACTGACCGCTGCAATCAATAAAAATTAGCCGGGCCGCCGCCTGACTCAGCCGTGTGTCGCCCGGAGCAGAGCAGGGGCAGAGGGGCGCTTTCCTCTCTGGCGTTTGCTGGTGGGCCGGGGTTGAGGCCAAGTTCCCAGACTCACTGGGTCGGTGGGTCCCAGTGGGGGCGCGATTCGGGCACCACACACCCTTCACACACCAGGCTACTGCCTGGTGCTGGAGGCTGAGTCCAGCACCCAGCTCCTTCGGATCTTAGGGAAACATTTATTTTTCAAGCATCTGCCTGCCCACTGGGGAGACCCGGACTGGCTTTTGTGTCCCAACGGGAAAGTTTGGAGAGGAGGAAGGGTGATCCTTTCCTCATCTCTTCCCCGTGGTGCTCATTTTTGAGACTTGTATGTGACATGTGATGTGGGGCCAAGGCGACAAGTGACATTAGAAGACCCAAAAGCACAAAGACTGACACAGGAAAAAAGGGCCCCGACACAGATGAAAGGAGGTGGACTGAGAACTGGGAAGACGGTGGCCTTGGGGGCCTGAAAAGCCGTGGCTTGCAGAAGGTGGGGGGTGCCTTCTTCCAGAGGCTTCTCCAGGTTTCTCCCTGTCTGCACCCCAGCATGCCTAAGCCAGGTCTCTCTCCAGGACGGGGTAGTTCCTCCCAACCTTGAAGGTGAACTTCACAGACAAAGCCCGCTTCCAAAGACAACTCCGGGCCATGCAGGCCCAGCCCCCACTGCCCAGTCGCAGTGGGAAGGAAGGGGGTGGGGGAGGCAGCCCCGAGTGAGAGCGGGCTATTGACATTCATGGCCCCTGGTGCAGCCGCAGTCCCTCCTGGGACAAAAGGGCCAGGGAAGAAAGGGAGCCCACTGTGGCTGGCACCCCGCTGCGCGGGCCTGCCAAGGAGCCTGGGATCTTCGGGAGCAGGCAGCCCTGCACTGCCAAGTAGCCCTGGCTTGGCGAGTGGGCCCTGGGCCCCGGCCCCTGGAGGGCACCCAGTGCTTATATCAGTTCCTGTGAGAGAGACTGGCTGGGCTTTAACGTGAGTGGCAGGACGGGGAGGGGAGGGGGGCATGACCTTGAATACGTCCGGAGACAAACACTACAATCAGACAGCCCTTCTGACTTACCCCTGGGAGAAGAGGGGAGAGCAGATTCATTTGTAAAGATGTGAGGGGTATGCTGGAAACACAACTAGGTAAAGTTCTGAGAAAGAATAAAAGGAAAGAAGAAAGGGAAAGAGAAAGGAGATGTGGTTTGGGAAGTTTCCTTTGAGTCAAGGGGATTTAAGGGCTTCCAGATCTGGTCTAGGGTTCAACAGGCAGCTTCGCTGGACAGAGGTTTTCCTTCTTGCCAAGACAGCCAGGAAGCGCCAGGCTCCCGAGGGTCTGAAGAGGAGCCCACAGTTGCGGGTGGGGGAGGCGAGAACACAGGTGCAGTCTCGGAGGAGCCGCAGAGACGAAATGACCTCATGCAGCAGGTCTGCTGTCCGGAAAGCTCTGTGGGTTTTGAGTGACGGTGCATGTGTGTGTGTTGGGGGGGGTTGTGGCTGTACCGGTGTGCAGGATGGACAGACCCTCATCTCTCTCCCTGTGACTCGGAGCCTTCGGATCAGCGCGTCTGTGCCGGTGGGGTTCTAGGCGTGTGTGCAGTGGGACCCACACATGGATGTGAGCAGGCACCGTGGTGAAACAGTCTCTCCATCCCTCTGCGGACAGATAGCATCGGTTTCTGATTGGAGCGTGGGGACCAGTCAGCAATCATCCCGATGACCTCTCCTCTCTCTCAGGCCCTAGACCTCAGTTGCATGACCAAGTTAAGGGTGAAAAGACCTCTGAACCTCCACCCAAGTGGTCCAAGTCCCGAGACACAGGGACGCCCCACGGGCAGAGCAGGGGGAGGGGCGCGTACCCACAACTTTGTTTTGGCTTCTTGCTCTTGACAAATGCTTTCTCCGGGGGTTGCCCCTCTCATGGCAGGGAGCCGCCAAAGCAGGGGTTTAAGAGCTCTCCTCTTTAAGCGCTAAAGAGAGATCCCTCCCTGAGTCCGTTTTTCCCTATCGTCCGCTTGGCATTTAATAATGTTAAGACTTATTAGAGCTGGTAATGAAAACTGGGACTGCTGAATAGAAAACTGTGTTGGAGAGGGGTGTAATAGCTTCCAGGCATGGTAAGAAACTATTTATCCGCAATCAGTCCTCACTCTCAGAGTTTGAAGCACAAACGTTAAGTTGAAGGGTTTTAAAGCAGATTAAATTGAGCTTTTATTTCTGTGCACTTTCATCTCTGAACAGCTCACTCTTGCTCCCCTTGGGCTGATATTCATGAGACTGTTCGTGTGTGTGTGTGTGTGTGTGTGTGTGTGTGTGTGTGTTTTTTTCTCCCTCTTATCCTTACTGAGTTATTAGGATTGTTGGTTGTGAGAATTCTCAGGCCACTGCCGATAGGGGCAGCGGCCCAGCTCTGCTCACCTGAAGAGGGAAGTGGACAGAGTGGGCAGCTCTGCACCCCTGTCCACTTCAACTGCCTCCTCTTTACCCCATCTTCAAGGCTCAGTCCAGAGAGCCGACAAGGACATGATCTGAGCAGGGGAGGAAAAAGGAAAAAAGATTTCCCCAGAATCTGAGCTCAGAAAGATTGTGGAGAGGAATTTGATAGGGGGTGTGCAAAGGGTCAAACCACTACTCCCAGGAGCAGAGAGAGGGAGGGCGAAGAAATAGGCAATAATGTAAATAACAATAGCAACAAACAATAAGAACCCCAAAGCCTCAGGCATCCTGCAGAGCATAAGTTGAAACCATAACTGATCAGATCCCAACGTGGGGCTCCATACTGTCTCCAGGGCAGGAAACCCAGTAGGGTTGAAATTAATTTGAAATATTGAAATAAGTTACAGGAGAATGAGGCGTTATTTCCCTCTGTGGCCAGAAAAACCTTGGGGTGTTACGAGTCCAGCAGGAGAATTCACAGACTTCCTGGTCTGAAAAGGCCATTGGAGGTGGGGAGATGCCAAGGGGCTGAGTCAGGCAGATTTGTTTGTCTGTCCTCAATTTATTTTCCAGGCAGTGAATTTACAGGTGTGGAGTGGGAAATGGCCAGGGAAGGATCCGAGGAGGGGAGAGCCCGAAGTGTGGCTCTTGGACACTTGTAAAGGGAGGTGGGAAACAATTTCATTTGGCATCGGCGATAGCTGCTAATGCGGTTTTCGGTCGTTTGCTACACTGGAGGAAGCTGTTTTGATTGTGCATACAAGGACCTGCCAAATTTAATTAGGCTCCGGGGGAGCGAATGAATAGGGGAAGGGGGGCGCGCTCCCCTCAGCCCACACCGCTTCTTCGCCTTCACACCTGGAGGGGACCCAGTTTCTGGGGTAGGTGGGGAGGGGGAGGGGCGGGGCGAGGGGGGCCTCGGGAGTGGGGGGCCGGGAGGGAGGCAGACAGTCCATTTATCAAGGAGCGATCTGCATCGATTTAAACCAACAAGTTCCCTCCTCTGTAAATGTGTGTTTAGAGAAAGGCAATTGACACTCCACCAAATCAAAGGATTACCCCGGGTTGGCAATCTAATCAAAGAGCGTCCAGGCGGGATTTGAGGCCGTTCCGAGTGGGATCAGCTTCGCATAATGGGGGCTTGGAGGGAGATGGGAGGGTGTCAGGCAATTCCCCGGCTTCAGGCAGCGCTCGCTCGCGGTGGAGATTCGGAGGCCCGAGGGAGGGGGAGGGGCCGGGCGGTGGGGGATGGGCGGCGGCGGAGGGGTGCGGCGGGGGCGCCCCGAAGGAGGGGCGCCCGGCGAGGGGCGAGCCCACTCTGGGCCGATCAGACTCCCCCTTTTCTCCCCCCCCATGCCCTCCAACCGGAGGAGCGCGGGGGAGGAGGGCGCCGACAATGGGGAGATAACTGTTACAAAGGGGAGCACGCGCGGCCGCCCCGCAACCCGCGTAAATAAACAAAGTCGGCGCACCGCGCGCCAGATAAACTCGTGCCTAAATCGGGTGTGACGGGCCGGGAGAGAAGAGACAGAGACAGAGCAGATAAGCTCGGAGGGGGATGCGCGAGCAGCGTAATCTAATAGAGACGCGCAGCAAACAAACTTGAAACAAGGGCGAACAGGCGCGAGCGCACGGCGGGTCCGCCCCGAGAGCGGGGAGCCGCGGGGGCGGGGGGGGGCTCCGCGGGGGGCCGGCGCAGGGCCCCCCGGGACCGGGCTGCAGCCCCCCGGAGCGCGGCTCGGCGCTGTCCTCGGGGCGCGAACCGCCGCGCCCCGGCTGTGCGCAGGCGTTTGTACCTAAAAGACGCGTGTGCGCGGCGCGGCGGTGCAGGGAATTAGATGTTTACCAGTTTGCAATAAGCCTGACTAAGAAGAAGAGAGAAGAGAGAGAGACAGACATTGCAGAGACGGGGCTGGGGGAAGACTTCAAACGAATTCATCATTGGGAATGGTGGAGAGAGATTTACCAGACAGTATTGGGAAGTTATTTAGATATTAATAACACATTTTCCTGAGGCGCGACCACGGCAGCCATCTGCGCTGCTCTCCGAGCTATTTGGCTGGGTAAAATAGGGGCGTCTCAAATGTTG